AAAAGCAGAGATGATTTTCAGGGGGTTCATATTGACTTTGTGTTAGGGAGGCAGTGTAGTGTAATGGGAGAGAGCCTGGGCTTTAGAGTTTAGCAGACTTAGGCTAGGTTCTGACTCTGCTCTTTCTAACTGAGTGACCTTGGGGAAATTCTTTATTCCCTCTGACATTGAATTTCTTTCTCTGCAAATTGGAATAATAAAATCTATCTGAGAGATACTGCTAGGATTAAATGGGGAAAAAATCCAAGTAAAGCATTTGACATAGTGCGTAGCCCATAATAAACATGTAATATGTGTTATTGTTGTCATTTTTAATGCTATTATCGGTATAATTTATGTAATTATCTGATTTCTTTTCTCCTAATTCCTGAGTGGGAAATAGTTGGAAAAGGCTTGAAAATATGTATATTAGCAAACCCTGACTATTGTCTTCTAATAGTAATCGAGCTCTTTTTATGGATTACATAGGCTAGAGTTGAATTTAGATGCTTGACATGTTTGGTTTCTGAACCAGATTGCAGTCACGTCACTACAGATTCATTTTCTCTTTAAATTGTAAAAATTAAAACAGTAGTACAGACTCATGTTTAAAACAGCAATCTGATCCAAGATTTTGTAGTCTGTAGAACTGATAATGTTTAATGTTCTCCATAAATTCATGGGGCTTAATAGGAAAGTACACAGAATTTTTAGAGCTTAAACAGACTTTAGAGATACTACTCTAATTCAAACCCTTCATCAAATGAGGAAACTCTGTAGGCAATTTGAATGAAGAATTCAGCTAAGATTCTTTATCTTTGTGTAAGAAGTAGATACAGCTTTGCAAAAGAAAGAGCTACCTAATAATGATTAAATTGTTATCATTGCTTCAAATTTTCATCTTATTGTTATGAATGACTATAAAATAAATTTTAGAGCTGCCATCAATGTACATACTGTTCTGTGTATTTTCTCTTAATATTATTTTCCTTTATTTTATTTTTTATTTTTATTTTATTTATTTATTTATTTATTGAGACGGAGTTTCACTCCTGTTGCCCAGGCTGGAGTGCAATGGAGTGATCTCAGCTCACTGCAACCTCTGCCTCCCAGGTTCAAGCAATTCTCCCGCCTCAGCCTCCTGAGTAGCTGGGATTACAGGCATGTACCACTATGCCCGACTAATTTTGTAGTTTTAGTAGAGACGGGGTTTCTCCATGTTGGTCAGGCTGGTCTCCAGCTCCCAACCTCAGGTGATCTGCCCTCCTTGGCCTCCCAAAGTGCCGGTATTACAGGGATGAGCCATCACACCCGGCCTATTATCTTTTATTTTTAAATTGCTACATAAGGTTACCCTCTTTGAACTGCATGGTTTGCTTGCTCATTCCCATGTTGTTGGGCATTTGAGTTTTCCTCGCTTTTTCCTAATATAAATGGAACTGCTATACACATCTTCTGTTTTTTTTTTTTTTTTTTTTTTTTTTTAAAGTAGAGACAGGGTCTTGCTTTGTTGTCCAGGCTCATCTTAATTCCTAGCCTCAAGCACTCTTTCTGCTTGGGCCTTCCAGTGTCGGGATTACAGGCATGAGCCACCTCGCCTGGCCGCTATGCACGTCTTTTATTAGGTTACTCCCCTGCACTTCTCCCACCCCACTTAATTCTTAGAGGAATATTCCCACAAATTAATCAAGATACAGTATTACAGTACATTCTAGTTACTGGTAATTGGGCTCAAACTCACTTCACAGGTAGCTTGATATTGTAAACTCAAATACTATAGATTTCACTAAATATAGGTCTTCTTAGGTGGCTGCTTTTTGTTAGGCAGAAAATCTTTTACCTGCATGGAATGAGTTACAAAGAGAGTTTTTTTTTTTTCAAGGTAAAGGAAGAAGGGAAGGCTTGAGAAGACCCTGGGGAAATTTGACTCCTTTATAATTTCTCCTGAGTCTGATTTTCAGAGTGTCATTTTGTTTTCTTACACAGTATATCAGGCATACTCCAATTTTTAAAAGTGGAGATATACCAATGTTATTGAAAAAGAAGGAAAATAGAGATAAAAATATTTAAAAGACAAATATATAGTTTTAGATTAACCATAAATAGGTTTCTTTCCATTAGTGCAGAGGTGAGCATGTTTTGGACTTAACATCACATAATTCTTTTGTTACAGAGATCTACTTTCATTTCCCAGACCTTAAATACAGATGGGAGTTTCAGTCTTTATAGCAGTCCTGTTGCCAGATACAATTCAGTCTTGATGGGAAGGAAGTCTTGTGGCCAGATGGGTGGCGATCCATGGTACAAGGCCATAAAGATAAAATTGGAAAGAAGAAAATTAAAACTATAAGGGCCCCCGGACAGGTCTTTGTAACAAAGATGAACCTGATTACAGGCAACTGCTTGTTCTGAGAGTAGGGGCTTCTTTAAAATTGTGAAGGAAATGCATCTCTTATTTTTATTTTTAGTTTAATTTATTTTTGGAATATATAATAAATTCACATAGATAAAATTCAAATGAAAATTCTCCTTCCAACTGTGATCCCCAGCCACTCCTTTCCTCTCCCTAGAGCCAACCAGTATTACTGATTATGTGATTATCCTTCCAGAAGTATTTTGTACCTTCTACAAGTGTGTGTGTGTGTGTGTGTGTGTGTGTGTACATGAATATTGTACATGTAACCATACACGTGTATTTTCTTCTTATTTTAATGAGTGGTTACAGAATATAGACACTGTTATATACCTTGCTTTTTCACCTAACACGAAATCTTGGAAATTATTCTGTATTCCTAGAAAGAAAGCTTTTGCATTCTTTGAAAATACTTTTAAGATGGCATGTGTCTACAGTAGGTTAAAGTAATTCCTAATGCGTGGATTAGGCCTATTACATAATAGCACTCAAGAAATTGTTGTTGCCTGTTGTTGCCTGTTGCCCAAGAATACAAAAAAAAAAAAAAAAAAGCAGGGGGGGGGGAAAAAGGAATTTTCCAGGTGCAGTAGCTCATGCCTGTAATCCCAGCACTTTGGGAGGTGGAGGCAGGCAGATCACTTGAGATCAGGAGTTCGAGACCAGCTTGGCCCACATGGTGAAACCCTCTCTCTGCTAAAAATACAAAAATAAAATAAAAGGAATGTTTGATGAATAAATGAGGGAGAGAGTGAGTTACTTTATTAATTTAAGGAGCAAATAGGAAGAGACAGAGAGCTAAGAATTACCTGAAGCTCTAAGACTGTTGACCTAACCCTGACCTCAGGATGACATCATAAAATGCATATTTGTTTTAAGAGCATCAGAAATTTTCTTTAAGGCTTCATCTTGGGACATGTCAGTGGGAAGAGATGCTTTGGAGGTTGGGGGAAGAATGGAGTTATGGGATGGCCTCCAGATTCCAAAAGTCAGGAGACGTGGCCATGGATTCACTGTGATGGTACTCTAGGACTTAGAACAAGTGAATTTAGGTCCTCTCTTCAAATGCAAAAAGAGGGGGTTGGAGTAAATTATTCCAGTGGATCCTTTTAGCTCTTAAATTGTGTTGTTTATAATTTTGAAATTTCCTGTCTGATCACCAATTAGGACATTTGTTATGCTGAAATTGTATTTGTAAATATATTAAAAATGAGGTGTCCTTTCTTTTTTATATTTATTTATGAGACAGGGTCTCACTCTGTTGCCCAGGCTGGAGTGCAGTGGCACAATTATTGCTCATTGCAGCCTTAAACTCCTGGGCTCAAGCAGTCCTCCTGCCCCAGCCTCCTGAGTCACCTGGACTACAGGGCATGAACCACGGCACCAGGCTCTTTTTTTTTTTTTTTTTTTTTTTTTTTTAGACGGAGTCTTGCTCTGTTGTCTGCTGGAGTGTGACGATGTATTCTCTGCTCACTGTAAATTCCTCCTCCTGGGTTCAAGCATTTCTCCTGCCTCAGCCTTCTGAGTAGCTGCGATTACAGGTGTCTGCCACCACACCTGGCTAATTTTTGTATTTTTAGTAGAGATGGGGTTTCAACATGTTGGCCAGGCTGGTCTCGAACTCCTTACCTCAAGTGTCCATCTGCCTCATCCTCCCAAAGTGCTGGGATTACAGGTGTGAGCCACCACGCCCAGCCCTTATCCTTTCTTTTTTTTGAGACAGAGTTTCACTCTTTTTGCCCAGGCTGGAGTGCAATGGTGCAATCTCACCTCACTACAACCTCTACCTCCCAGGTACAAGTGATTCTCCTGCTGCAACCTCCCGAGTTGCTGGAATTACAGACACCCGCCACCACCCCCAGCTAACTTTTTGTATTTTTAGTAGAGACAGGGTTTCAGTATATTGGCCAGGCTGGTCTTGAACTCCTGACCTCGTGAGCCACCACACCAGGCCCTTTCTTTAAGATAATAAAAAAAAACACACAGGTTATTGGTAACAATGTGATTGTTAAGATAACAAAATTAGGCTGGGCGCGGTGGCTCATGCCTGTAATCCCAGCACTTTGGGAGGCCAAGGTGGGCAGATTATGAGGTCAGGAGATTGAGACCACGGTGAACCCCATCTCTACTAAAAATACAAAAAATTAGCTGGGCCCGATGGCGGGGGCCTGTAATCCCAGCTACTTGGGAGGCTGAGGCAGGAGAATGGCATGAACCTGGGAGGCAGAGCTCGCAGTGAGCCAAGATCATGCCACTGCACTCCAGCCCGGGCGACAGAGTGAGATTCCGTCTCAAAAAAAAAAAAAAGATAACAAAATTAGAAAGTTGTTTGCCATGATTATATTTCTCACAAAAATTGGCTAAACTATTAAGATAGAAGCAGATTTACAGGGGTAGGACTAAATATCCCACATTTTGACACATTTTGAGAGAATTAAAGCTCTGTAGTTTCAACCTTTTATCAAAATATAATATTAAAGTTATTCACTAGTAAATATAATTGTCATAAATGATAATGTATATGTTTAACAATATTTAATTATCAAGATAGTAGCTAATAGTAAATATAATTCATAGTGAAATAAATCTTTCTTTTTCTTCTTTATTTTAGTTAAGTATGAGAGAGAAGCTAGTAAATACTGGGATACATTTTACAAGATTCATAAGAATAAGTTTTTCAAGGATCGTAATTGGCTGTTGAGGGAATTTCCTGAAATTCTTCCAGTTGTTCAAAAACCTGAAGAGAAGGCGAGAGAATCATCATGGGATCTTATAAATACGAGTGCTACAAATTGTTTCTCAAGAATACACTGTCCTACTATGCCTGAAGAAAAAAATCATTATGAGAAAAGTTCTGGCTCTTCAGAAGGTCAAAGCAAAACAGAATCTGATTTTTCCAACCTAGACTCTGAAAAACACAAAAAAGGACCTATGAAGACTGGATTGTTTCCCGGTAGCAATGCCACTTTCAGGATACTAGAGGTACTGTGCTTAAGGGACAAAAATGGGAGGTGACAAATAATTTGAAAATGTACATTCTGTATTTATTAATAATGCAGATTTTTTTTTCGGTAGAGAACTATCAAATCTAAATAAGCATTCAGTATACTTTGGTGCATAAATAATATTTAAGGGACTCATGTCTTTTAATCAGTCAAGTTTTAAGCTTGTGGTTTAAATTTGGTTTTGTTGTGCTTTTTTTAAAAAAAAATTGTCTGTTTTCATTTTAATCTGAGGTTAGTTTTAAGTACCAATGAAGTTTTGGCCTTAATTTTTACTCTCTGTTATTACCCCTTTTTTGGCGAAATAGAAATAAGTGAGATATATAATTTGCTATAATCTGGTGTAACCTTGGTTTTCTATTTTTACAACTAAACCCTGTCTTTCTGATTTTAAAGGCAATGTATACTGATTAGAGAAAATTTGCTAACGAGGAGATAAATTATCACCAGTCCTACAAACAAAGGATTTAACCACCGTTAACATTTTAGTGACCTTTTTCTTCTTCTTTTTTTTTTTTTTTTTTTTTTTTTTTTTTTTTTGAGACAAGAGTTTTGTTCTTGTTGCCCGGGCTGGAGTGCAGTGGTGCCATCTTAGCTCACTGCAGCTTCTGCCTCCTGGGTTCAAGCGATTCTCCTGCCTCAGCCTCCCGAGTAGCTGGGATTACAGGCGCCTGCCACCACACCCAGATAATTTTTTTGTATTTTTAGTAGAGACAGGGTTTCGCCATGTTGGCCAGGCTGGTTTTGAACTCCTGACCTCAGGTGATCCACCTGCCTTAGACTCCCAAAGTGCTGGGATTACCAGCAGGAGCCATGGCGCCCGGCTGACTTTTTTCTTCTTTTATTACTGTACATGTATTCTAAGTTTTGTTTGTTTCTATTTAACATGGTATCATAAGCAGTTTTCACTATCTTTAAAAATTCTCTATATTTTCATGGCTACAAAATATTTTACTATGTGGAGTACTATAATTTTACCTATCTATTTTCACACTACTGGACATTTTAGTTGTTTTCAGGTTTTCTGAAGCAAACATCTTTGGGTATAGACTTTAGCTGCATTTTCTTTTATTGTTTTAGCTTAGATTTTCTAGTTCATAATTTATGAAGTTTTTAATACTTTTAAAACATATTGCCCACTTGCTTTCTAAGAAGTTGTACTAATACCATTCCATGATGGTGTATGTCTGTTTCATCACACCCTCATTGATTGAAATATTATTTTAATGTTTCCCACTTTGTTAGACAAAAATTGTACCTTGTTTTAATATGCATTTCTTTCATTACTAAGTAGGTCACATAATTCAAATGTTTAGAATCATTTGTACTTCTTTTGTGTTTTGTCCATTTTTTTTCTCTGCTTATCCTTTTCTTTCTAATGAGCCCTGCCCTTTATCATATATATTGCAGTTTTCTTCACAGAGTATTGGTTATTTTTTAATTTGGTTTATTTTGGGTTTTGGTGTGTAAAAATTTTAAACGTTTCCATAGTCAGATTTCTTAATGTTTATTCCTGTGATTTATTTCATTGCTTTTGAGTTTAGCAAACTCTACTGAACCCAGAGATCCAGTGAGTCTAATTGTTTTTTGGTTTAATAGAAAATCTGACATTGGTGACAAAAATTTTACCTTGCTTTTTTGATATTTGCTTGTTCTTTTGATTTTAGGTTGGTTGTGGAGCTGGAAATAGTGTGTTTCCAATTTTGAACACTTTGCAGTGAGTTTTAAGAGTTTTATTTCTATAGAATTTTACATATTTATGGAATGTTGAGAAATTCTGGGAAAATATTGTCATGTGTGTGCCAGTAGTGTTTCTAATTCTTATATGAACAATGGCTCAAGCAAATTTCAAAAGAAATGTCTTAATCTCAATGTCTACTTTCATGTGAACTGGGAATTACTCTGAACATAGTGTTTCATAGCCATGGGTTGTCCGTCATTGTTTTGAAGTAATTTTTTAAGCTTATGTGTATATGTATGAGAGAATAAGAAAAGAGGAAGCGGACCAGGCATGGTGGCACATGCCTGTAATCCCAGCACTTTGGGTGACTGAGGTGGGTGGATCACTTGAGGTCCGGAGTTCGAGACCAGCCTGACCAACACAGTGAAACCCTACCTCTACTAAAAATACAAAATTAGCCAGGCATGGTGGCACATGCCTGTAATCCCAGCTATTTGGGAGGGTGAGGCAGGAGAATCTGCTTGAACCAGGAGGCGGAGGTTGCAGTGACCCAACTGCATCATTGCACTCCAGTCTGGGCAACAAGTGCAAAACTCAGTCTCAAAAAAAAAAAAAAAAAGAGGAAGTGAGTTCATCCTTCCACTGAGCTGTGAACTGCTAAACTTCAGAGCTTATTTACTCTTCCTGGATACTTAGATGTCATTTTACACATAGAGAATTGAATGTAAAGCTTACAACTTAACCCTCATTTTGTCATCCCTTCGGAAGCAACACCCTATGTAAGATGTTTGCATGCCAAATCATTGTGTCTAGGCTTAAAATTATTTGGAGGTAGCAGCAACTCATCCTAAGACTCAAAAAAGCAGCCGGGCGCAGTGACTCGTGCCTGTAATCCCAGCACTTTGGGAGGCCGAGGCAGGCAAATCACAAGGTCAGGAGTTCAAGACCAGCCTGGCCAATATGGTAAAACCCCATCTCTACTAAAAATACAAAAAATTAGCTGGGTGTAGTGGCGGGCACCTGTAATCCCAGCTACTCAGGAAGCTGAGACAGGAGAATCACTTGAACCCATAAGGTGGAGCTTGCAGTGAGCTGAGATGCACCACTGTACTCCAGCCCAGGCAACAGTGCAAGACTTCGTCTCACAAAAAAAAAAAAAAAAAAAAAAAAAAAAAAAGCAGAGTTTGACTACAGGGACAGAGATTTGCTCCAGGCTCACCCTTCCTGTTCAGCATTTCACCTGTGTCTTTTACTCTTTCCATGATGAACACACAAAACTCTTCAAACACCTTTTATCTATGGCCAGTCTGCCAAGCTCTGTTCTTTTTTAAGTTTACACATTATTTTTCCATTATAAAATCAGCATTAGCACGTTGCAGAACATTTCCATTAGAGGGAAAGGGGAGGGAGGGAATCACTCATCATCCCCATCATCCTAACATAGCCAATGACAAAATTTTTGTTTTAATTCCTTTCAGTCTTTATGCATATTTTTAAATGATGTGATCTTTTAAATTTTTTATTATGAAAATGTAAAAGCATCTGGGGCCTGGTGCGGTGGCTCATACCTGTAATCCCAACACTTTGGGAGGACAAGGCAGGCAGATCACTTGAAGTCAGGAGTTCAAGACCAGCCTGGCCAACATGATGAAACCCTGTCTCTACTAAAATTACAAAAATTAGCTGAGTGTGGTGGTGCACACTTGTAATCCTAGCTACTCAGGAGGCTGACGCAGGAGAATCGCTTGAGCCCGGAAGGCAGAGGTTGCAGTGAGCTGAGATCACACCACTGCACTCCACCCTGAGTGACAGAGAAGAGACTCTGTCTCAAAAAAATTTTTTTTAATAAAAAATAAAGCATTCAGAAAAGCAAAGAGTACAGTGAATTTCCATATGCCCACCACCTCAATTCAACAATTACCAATATAATGCCAACATCATGACACTTTGTCTTTGATTATTTGGGATATATCTCCCAAAACTTAGTATACTCTCTAATATTGTTGTAAATCTAACATAATGAATAGTGAGTAATTCCCTACTATTATTTAATAACCAGCTAATGTGGCCAGGCATGTGTGATGCTGGTAAATTTACAGTTCTGAATGTCGTTTCTCTTTGTGTTTTTGTTAGTTTTGTTTTCCTTTTTCTAGTTTCTGGGCTGAAATTTCCAGTTTCCTTATGTCACATAGCCATATTCCTTTACCCCAGTGATCTCTGAGCTTATAATACACATAAATACACTACAATGGCAGTTGATTGTGTGTTACTTTACGACTGATCTCAAGGTATTATTTAGCATGTCATTTCTTTATGCCTTGTCTCTCCAACCACTTTTTATATTCCTTAAGGCAGAGGGCATATTTTATCCTAATCTGATTTCCCAGGTTGCCTAACAGTACAGCATAGTTAGAGCTCAATACATATTACCTGATTAATATCTCTGATTCCCCAACTTGCTAGTTATATTTTTCACCTCTCTGCTTCTCCCTTCAGCTTGTAATTGTAAGCTCTTGGTTCCTCACTCCCTAACTCTTTCTTCTTGGCTGTGTCTTTCTTTCCCTCTTACCTGTGTTTTAGAAATTACTGTAGCTCAATAACCTGAGATAATTAATTCATCTTTAAAAGGCAACCAGTGATTAGCCTTCCAAAGGAATGATTAGACTTTTTTTTTTTCTCCTTAAGAAATTATGTTTTACTACTTTTAGAGAGTATAGGATTAATGTTTTACATTTTCAGAATATTTTACCATAATTAGACCTCTAAAATGAAGAGGTCATATCATTCTCCAAGGATCATTTAATTCATAAACCCCTGCCAAGAGAGTCCTTGGTGGTATGGTGGTAGTAGTGATATTTACACCTGTTTGCTGGGAGAAGGGCCAAGGTGGTCAGCTGATTTTACAGAAAGGTTCTGGGAAGTCATTGAGTGGTCACAAGACATCAACCTGGGCTGCTGATGCAGTGGGAATTCCATCTCAGAGGTCATGCTGCCACCCTGGCAGGACACATGGCAAATGGCACATGCTTTCCTTTAGCTCCTAGACTGTTCTATATCTTATGGGTATTTGGTTTTTTACTGCCCACAGGTAGACTGCAGACCTTTTATAATGAGCTAGACATACCAGTGTCCAGAAAAGCATTTTGAGCTATATGGAAGTTTTTTGGGTTTTGTTTTGTTTTGTTTTGTTTTAGAGGACTATGTTAGTGTTTAAGTTCCTGGAAGGCAAAAGCAATCTCCTTTAATAATAATAGTGACGATAATAATAGCAACAACTCATTATAATAATGACTAACATTTATTGAGTGCTTACTCTGAGTCAGACACCTTTCTGGAAACTTTAGCTATAAGAATCCATTCACTTCAAACAAGCATCTTAGATGCCATGTTTATCTCTTTTTTAAAGATGAGGGAACTGAATTAAAGAAGAGATTAAGCAACTAGCCCAAGGTCACGCAACTAAGTAGTAAAGCTGAGAATCAAACCTTAGGCAATCTGGTTCCAAAGCCCTTGCCCTTAACCTTTAGCCACACAGTGCTACGTGTATCTGAGTGTTTGCTGAGAACATTTCAAATATATTTCAAACCACCCAGCAAATTACAAGTCACAATTATATGGATTTCATAGGAAACAACAGGGGAACATGTAGAAGTAAAGTGCTATTTTTATGTTTGACAGATGAGAAAAGACCAAGCAGTACAAGTTTTAACTTTGATTCAGTACTGGTTAGCTTTTCATAAACAAATCCTATTCATCATACTTTAACTTATTTGGATAGATCTTAAATTGAATGCAAATCCCTAGTGCCATAGAATGAGTGAATTATATGTTAACATAGTTATTCATCAATGAGTTGCCTTTAAGAATATAATCTGAGGCCAGGCACAGTGGCTCACTCCTGTAATCCCAGCACTTTGGGAGTCCGAGGTGGGTGGATCACCTGAGGTCAGGAGTTCGAGACCAGCCTTACCAACATGGTGAAACCCCATCTCTACTAAAAATACAAAATTAGCTGGCTGTGGTAGTGCATGCCTGTAATCTCAGCTACTTGGGAGGCGAGGCAGGAGAATTGCTTGAACCCAGGAGGCAGAGACTGCAGTGAGCCGAGATCGTGCCATTGCACTCCAGCCTGGGCAACAAGAGCGAAACTTCATCTCAAAAATAAAAAAAAGAGTATAACCTGAGCCTGGGTCAGATATTGCTAAATGCATATTTGGGCTTGTATTCCATATTTATTTAGAAGTTCGCCTTGCTTGGAATACTTCTTGAGTCAGATTAGAAGTCTTAATGATATGCTTCAAGGCTCACCTTTTTATCCTGCCATATACCAGTTTGGGCTCTCAGGATTAGTGCTGCTTCTCATCCCTGCATGTGACTCCCACTTCTAAACTCTTCAACCATTTCCCCTTCTTGTCATTTAACAATATTATCCTCCTCCTTCAGAAATTTTAAGACTTATACCTCAGGGTGCTGGCCCTCTCCACACCCCTGTAGAAGTCGTATAAAACCAATTATGTCGCCAATTAGACTATAAAACCCATGAAAGCCAGGACCATCCTTACTGTTTAATGACATGCTGAACTCTTTCTGTAGTTCAGACATGGTACTAAGCAACATGATGCAATGATTATTTGATACCAGCATACATAGTATAATCAGGAGGAGTACTGGCCTACAAATTTCAGAGTATATGACTGCCTTAGTAACCATGAACCAGCCATCATTACTGAATTTCAAATAAAGGCCAAACAGAACGTATTTAAGTTAAGAAGAGGCCAATTAAAAATCATATCGCCTATTGGCCAGGCACAGTGGCATGCATCTGTAGTTCCAGCTACTCGGGAGGATGAGGCGGGAGAATCACTTGAGCCCCAGAGGTCGAGGCTGCAGTGACCTGTGATTGTGCCACTGTGCCCCAGCCTGGGTGACAGAGCGAGACCCTGTCTCAAAAAAAAGCTGAGGGGTGGGGGTGGAAATACTTATTAACAAGTCAGACCTACAGTTTCCTTTCTTCTCTAGTTTGAGCATTTCTGGACTCCAGATATAAATATTTCTTCTGGCCGAGCACAGGGGCTCACACCTATGATCCTGACAGTTTGAGAGACTGAGGCAGGAGGATCATTTGAGAACAATAGTTCAAGACCAGCCTGGGCAACATAGTGAGACCCCATCTCTACAGAAAAATCTAAAATTAGCTGGGCATGGTAAGGCACATCTGTAGTCCTAGCTACTCAGGAGGCTGAGGAAGGAAGATCGCTAGAGCCCAAGAGCTCAAGGTTATAGTGAGCTATGGTCGCGTTACTGTACTCCAACCTGGGGAACAGAGCAAGACCTTGTCTCCAAAAAAATAAAAATATTTCTTCCATCTTCATAGGAACTCTCCAGAGTCCTTTCTGTATTGTTGTGATTTTGCTTCTGGAGCTGTGGAGCTCATAAAGGTATGCTACTCCCGGGAATCATACCAACTGATGCCTAAGGTATTACCCCAGAAAAATAAAAGTTGTTTTGATTTTAAGATCACTAGAGGTGGGGCGTGGTGGCTCACGCCTGTAATCCCAGCATTTTGGGAGGCCGAGGTGGGCAGATCACCTGAGGTCAGGAGTTCGAGACCAGGCTGGCCAACATGGTGAAACCCATCTCTACTAAAAATAAAAAAATTAGCTGGGTGTGGTGGCACGTGCCTGTAGTCACAGCTATTCGGGAGGCTGAGGCAGGAGAATGGCTTGAACCCGGGAGGCAGAGGTTGCGGGTGACAGAGAAAGAATCTGTCTCAAGAAAGAAAGAAAAAGAGAGAGAGAGAGAGAGAGAGAAAGAAAGAAAGAAGAAAGGAAGGAAGGGAGGGAGGGAGGGAGGGCCAACAGCACATAAGAAATGACCAGAAAGGGTACTGACCTACAAAATTTAGAATGTATGCCTGCCCATGAATAATCGTAGTCCAAGCAGAACCTCTTTAAGTTCAGAAACAGCAACCCAGAGCAGACCTCTAATAATACTATCTACTAACTCAGAAAGCCTACCCTCCTCTACTTTTAAAGTTAAAAAGGGATTGCGAAGGATATTTGTTATCAAGGCCAAGAGCTAGCCTTAACTTTTTTAGGGCAGCTGGAAATAAGCTAACAATACTGAATTGGAAAAAAGTGTTCAGATTGACAGAGGAAAGGTTTTTGGGAGAAAAGGTTAAAATTTTGACCTTTTTATTAAAAAAAAAAAAATTCCCGGAAGTCTACTAAGTCCTCTTTTTGCTTTCTGTTCCTTTATCATGACAGTCACACTCGTCCTACAGAGCAGCCCAGTGTTTTGCCTTTGTTCACGATGTATGTGATGATGGCTTACCTTACCCTTTTCCAGATGGGATCCTGGATGTCATTCTCCTTGTCTTTGTGCTCTCTTCTATTCATCCTGACAGGTAAATGAAGACGAAAGGGCAAAGCAGATGTGTAAAGCTCCTTTATCAGTAGTGGTTTTCAGAACTATCAAAGCAAAAATGACAATTTTTGAATTTATTATTTAGTGAGCGACATTATGTATAATATGCAGCCTTTTAATGGCAATTTTTCTCTTCTTCGTACTTTTAGACAGAAACTGGTCAGACTACTTCATTAATGAGCTTTCTGTCACTGTCAGAATGAAGTGAGCATATTCTGGCAAGACACATACCTATTAAAAGTGACAGTGCTTCAAGGAAATTACAAATTCAGAACAATCTAATAGACTCCCAAGAGGGAAATTGTACTTGGCGATCAGAAACAAACATCTTTAGTGTAGTGTCTTCCTGAATGTTCATGAAGAGGTGGGCTTGGGATCTGTTTGGCTTCACACAGGCCTGTTGATGGGCTTTAAAAATTTTGTTCTAAAGAAGCACACTAGGGAATTAGGAGTTATTAAGATTTGCCAGATTATCCTTGGACCTTTATGATCTAAGGTTAGCCTGATGCCATCATTTAAATATTTATGACTTAAAGTTTCATACAGTGTTTTAAAACTATAAACATAGCTTTTCTCCAGAGAGAAAACATAAAAAGATATTACCAGCAATTAAAATGATTACCTTTCTTAAATCTTGCCACCTTCTATGTATTAAAGGGTAAGTATCAGGTCTGTGCTTTCATAAGGTTTCTTAACATTGGGTTCTCATAGTTTCCTGGTAGGAGATACAGACTTGGCGTCAACCACTTTTTGTTTGATGAGTATGATACCCTTTTCCATAGAAACTGAGTCACCATGTGCTTATTTCTTTGCAATTAAAAGGCCACTAGGACCTTTATAATTCTTTTACTTCCCATTGAGAAGTGAGCACTTTGATTACTTGTAGAAGAATAAATTCCATTTCCAAATAAATCTGAAATAAGATACATTAGCACCTAGTGAGGTATGTCAGGTTTTATGAAGCTACTGTTTCCTCCCAGTTTCTATAACCTATTTCTTTCTGCTAATCTGTTTAGACTGTAGGCATTGTTCAGGTACTAATAGAAAGATGTCATATATGTGTTTGGTATCCTCATATGAACAGTTAAAAGGATGGAGGAGGCATATAGAGAACAAGATTTCCCATTTGATACCCATAACAAGAAACATTTAAATTCTACACATAGCCACAAAAAGACTATTTGAAATTGGTTCAGATAATGTATTTTCTCGTGATTTGAATTGAATGTTAAAGAGAAGAGAAAGGCCGGGTGCAGTGGTTCACGCCTATAATCCCAGCACTTTGGGAGGCCGAGGTGGGTGGATCACCTGAGGTCAGGAGTTCCAGACCAGCCTGGTCAACATGGTGAAACCTCGTCTGTACTGAAAAATATAAAAATTAGCCAGGCATGGTGGTGGGTGCCTGTAATCCCAGCTACTTGGGAGGCTGAGGCAGGAGAATTGCTTGAACTCAGGAGGTGGAGGTTGCAGTGAGCTGAGACTGTGCCATTGCACTTCAGTCTAGGCAATGAGAGTGAAACTCTGTCTCAAAAAAAAAAAGAGAAGAGAAAGCAGATGCCTTGGGAAGATTGTGTCTATCATATAGCATTTCATTCTATTTATTATAAAATGAATTTAGAATTTAGATGTATCATGACAGTGACCACTGTCTTACCTACATAGAAATGATCTAAAAATAAGGTGAATGAATAGAAAAGGGACAATAGTAAATTTATTTAAAAGGCAAGGCAGGCCGGGCCGGGCACGGTGACTCACCCCTGTAATCCCAGCACTCTGGGAGGCCAAGGTGAGCGGATCACGAGGTCAGGAGATGGAGACCATCCTGGCTACCACAGTGAAACCCCGTCTCTACTAAAAATATTTTTAAAAATTAGCCGGGCATGGTGGTGGGTGCCTGTAGTCCCAGCTACTCGGGAGACTGAGGCAGGAGAATGGCATGAACTTGGGAGGCAGAGGTTGCAGTGAACCGAGATCACGCCACTGCACACTGGCCCGGGCAACAGAGCAAGACTCCATCTCAAAAAAAAAAAAAAAAAAAAGGCAAGGCAGGCCAGGCGCAGTGGCTCACACTTGTAATCCCAACACTTTGGGAGGCCAAGGCAGGAGGATCACTTGAGGCCAGGAGTCCAAGACCAGCCTGGCCAACATGGTGAAACCCCCATCTCTACTAAAAATAGAAAAATTAGCTGGTTGTGGTGGCACAGGCCTGTGAACCTAGCTACTGGGGAGGCTGAGGCAGAAGGGTTGTTTGAACCCAAGAGGTGAAGGTTGCAGTGTTCCAAGATTGCACCACTGCACTCCAGCCTGGGCGACAAAGCAAGACTTTGTCTCAAAAAAAAAAATAAAAGGCTGGGTGCTGTGGCTCACGCCTGTAATCCCAGTACTTTGGGAGGCCAAGGCAGGTGGATCACCTGAGGTCAGGAATTCAAGACCAGCCTGGCCAACATAGTGAAACCCCGTCTCTACCAAAAATACAAAATTAGCCGGGTGTGGTGGCACACACCTGTAGTCCCAGCTACTCGCGAGGCTGAGACAGGAGAATTGCTTGAAACTGGAAGGCAGAGACTGCACTGTGCAGAGATCATGCCACTGTACTCCAGCCTTGGGCAAGACAGAGTGAGACTCCATCTCAAAAAAATAAATACATAATAAAAATACAAAAATTAGCTGGGCGTGGTACTACACGCCTTTGATCCCAGCTACTCTGGAGGCTGAGGCAGGAGAATCGCTGGAACCTGGGAGATGGAGGTTGCAGTGAGCCAAGATAACGCCACTGTACTCTAGCCTGGGTGACAGTGAGTAAGACCCTGTCTCAAAAAAAGAAAAAACTAAAGGCAAGGCAATGTGTATAGTGTCACTTAGGACTATAGTAGTAGATTCAACCCCAGAAAAGTTCTAGAAAAGTAGCATCTTGGTAGCTTGGAAAATTCAGGCAGAAGTAAGTGGCAAGCAATTTGGCTAGATCCTGAGTCTGGAGGACCCAGCTTAAATGGGAATAAATTGTAGGTGGCTACAAAAGAAGAGTAAGTTGTCCTTCTTGTCACTGAAATGGAAGTACACAATATTACAGAGCTGGCCGGCCGCGGTGGTTCACGCCTCTAATCCCAGCACTTTGGGAGGCTGAGGCAGGCAGATCACAAGGTCAGGAGATCGAGACCATCCTAGCTAACACGGTGAAACCCTGTCTCTACTAAAAATACAAAAAATTAGCCGGGCATGGTGGCAAGCGCCTGTAATCCCAGCTACTCGGGAGGCTGAGGCAGGAGAATGGCGTGAACCCAGGAGGCGGAGCTTGCAGTGAGCCGAGATCACAGCCACTGCACTCCAGCCTGGGCAACAGAGTGAGACTCTGTCTCAAAATAAATAAATAAATAAAATAAAATAAAATATAATATTACAGAGCCAAGCATAAAGCAGGCAGTCTATACGTTTTTTGTCTCTTCTTTTCCTTTTCCTCTCCCTCTATCCAGAGATAAGTGAAGACAGCAGAGTTGGCCCAAGTAGGGTGAAGAAAGAAAAGGGGCTTCATACCATTCCTGTCTTGTCCATCTCACCCCCAGCCCACCCCCACCTGCAGTTCTCAGGAATTGTCTCGGGAGCTGCACTATGAACCAAGATGAGATTATCAAGAAAAGTAGCTCCCCTTCCTTACCTTTATCCTCAACCCCAGACATTAAAGGATAGCTGAGAGGAAAGGATTTGCAGGAGGAGGCGGCTGCATTTTAAAGTGTTTGTTTATTTTTCTGCATTTTAGTTTCATGCTTGTTTTACTAACAATTACAGAAAGATTTTGCTATGTACATAAAATATTTATCCTGAAAGTGAATATTTTAAGGTTTAGATATGATTTTCCTTCATTGGCAAAGCCTACGATATAAGCACAGTGTGAAAATAACCTGTAATAAAATAAACAAAAAATACGTTTCTTTTTTTCTTTTATGTCCTTATGTTCTAGTTCTTTAAAAAGGGCTTTTCACCTAATCATGCCACCTCCTTCTGTCCTACTTCTCTCTTATTTTATAGTTGCTTTCATTTTCTCAGTATCTGCTTCCTTCGTAATATGACATAATCTGAGTTTTACCTCACTATTCCACTGAACAATGTTTTAATTGAAAGGAATTTACAGATTATCTGATTCAAACTTTTCATTTTTTTCAAATAAGAAAACCTCAGCAGCTTTAAGTAGCTTAGATAAGGCAGAGACAACAAGGACTTAGCACACAAGCTTGCATTTACCATTCTCTGCCCATGGCAGACATTGATAATCGATTTTATACTCTGTAACTCCCAATGAGCTTTATGAGTCCTTCTCAGAGCTCTGTAGGCAGCCAATGCTGTCACTCAGAATGAATATGAGATCTGAAATCTATGCCATCCCTGGCCCATAATCACACATAAAGCCATGAACACTTAGCTAAAAACACTAAATCAAGAGCAGCTATAAGGGATTACATTTGACTAAAAGCCAGATAAGTAGAATAAACAGTAAAGGAGAAAAGCAAAGGCTCCCTGATATTGAACTAGGCTTGGAATGTGAATAAAATTTAAATAGGCAGACAGTAAGGAGGAGAGAATTCTTTGAGGAAAAACCATGTGAGCAAAGGCAGAGGCTGCTCAGGGCCAAGCATGACAGTTTGGCTAGGGGAGCTGCTTCAGATTGGAAAACTGTTGGAAAGATTAATTGGGGTCAGTAGTAGGAGATCTTAAGAGCTCAACTAAGATATTAAAATTTTATCCTATGGATTAAAATCATGAAAGTTTTTGAGCAAGGAGATGATTTGACAAAATTATCATTTTAAACAGAATTATTCATCGATAACATGCAGGAAGGATTGACAGGGAGAATAATACAGCGTGTTAGGAAGCAGATTTGTTTCCAGGCCTCAGGAGATAGAGGTTGTACTAAGGGAGTACCAATGGGAAACAAAAAAGACAGGAAATATCAAAGATGGCATTAAAAATAAAAATTAAAGAGGACATAGAATTTTATGGCCAATGGAGAGGATAGTGGAAGAAAAATAATTTATCTTCATGAGGTGAATGATGGTGGTACCTCTGAACTAAATAAAGAAGTCAAAAGGAGAATGAGCTCATTTTGGAGGAAAGATATTCCCTCTTTAGATACGTACAACTTGGGATGGCTTTGTCATATTTTTTATCTTGCAAGAAAAATGAAGCACACTCAGTTTTTATCTGTCTCAGAACTACCTTCATTTTCTGTAAGTACCAGGAAACATCTGTGGTTTTGAAGTTTAGCTTTGACATCATATATCAAGCTCTGTGAAGTTACCACTCTGGCCATTTGGGTGATTTCTTGATACTCTAGGACTTTTGAATCTAGTCATTTAGCAAGTTGGTATTCTTTTTTCCTTCTTTACAAAATATTTTTATTTTTGTTAGCCTTACGTTTATGGTTTAGATTTCTTTGGCCTTATCAAGCTTTTCTTATTTTGTCTTCAACAAAGTTAAAGCTAGCATATAAAACAAGATTTCCACAAACTGGGTATCTTTTTAATACTTTGTTTTCAAAGGATGCAAGGTGTTGTAAACCGACTGTCCAAGTTACTGAAACCTGGAGGAATGCTGTTATTTCGAGACTATGGAAGATATGATAAGACTCAGCTTCGTTTTAAAAAGGGTAATAGTATATTCAGTTTGAGGTTATTTTTAAGTGTTCTAAAGATGCCTTGATTATATTTCACATCAAAGTATTTAGTTGTTGTTGTTGTTGTTTTTAAGGAATACCCTTAAAAGTCTCTCTTTTCACAATTTTTTTCAGGACGTTGTTTATCTGAAAATTTTTATGTTCGAGGAGATGGTACCAGAGCATATTTCTTTACAAAAGGTATGCTAATCTACAAGAGGAAATGATTGGTCATAATGGTTCTTGTTAGTTATTATCTCATAGATTATAGCTCAGAAGCTATAAAACTGACGCTTCTATCATTGATTAAGCATTAGATGTCTTCATACTTTGATGCTTATAACTGGTCTACATAAAAGGTTGAAAATGGCCATTTATTTTTTAATCTTTTTCCAGTTGAAACTGCTTTAAAGAGGCTCTTGTTTTACCCTCATACCCAGATGAAGGTGAAGGCTGTTCCATTTTGGAGATATTGTTAGCCTAGATATGAAAAAAATTGATGATATACCACAACCAGAGGAGGACATTTGATAAATTTATAGAAAATTACTTATCTTGGCCCATCACAGGGGTGCTCACCTGTAATTCCATCACTTTGGGAGGTGAAAGTGAGAAGATTGCTTGGAGCCAGGAATTTGAGACCAGCCTAGACAAGACTCTGTCTCTACAAAACAAATTTTTTTAAATTAGCCGGGCTGGTGGTGCATACCTGTAGTCCCAGCTACTTGGGAGGCTAAGGTGGGAGGATCACTTGAGCCAGGGCAGATGAGGCTACAGTGAGGTATGATTGGACCACTGTGCTCCAGCCTGGGCAGCAGAATGAACCTTATGTCTAAAAAAACAGTACATTTTCAAAATAGAAAGAAGGAAAATTACTCATCTCTAGCTAATTTCTCTTTTTTTTTTTTTTTTTTTTTTTTTTTTGAGATAGAGTCTCCCTCTGTTGCCTAGGCTGGAGTGCAGTGGCACAATCTCAGCTCACTGCAGTCTCCACCTCTCCAGTTCAAACGATTCTCCCACCTCAGCCTCCCAAGTAGCTGGGATTACAGGCACCCACCTCCATACCTAGGTAATTTTTGTATTTTTATTAGAGATGGGGTTTCACCAGGGTGGTCTCAAACTCCTGACCTCAGGTGATTTGCCTGCTTCAGCCTCCAAAAGTGCTGGGATTACAGGCATGAGCCACTATGCCCAACGAATTTCTCATTTTAAAAATGCATTTCTGACAGTACCAAGTAAATGCTGCATTCAAGGATTTTCCCAAATTTATGTGAGTACTTTTATAATCTGCCATTTTGGGTTTTCGTAAACCAACAAAAACTCAGAAAGGGAGCACCTTTCAAAATATTGAAAGCTGCAACCAATAGTGTTATATATCTGTTGACGTCTGCCGTGTCAGTCTGTAAACAGGTGTATTTTTATATGCATGGTGTATTTTTGTGAAGTCGAAGAAACTCGCTTGGTTTCATAGGTTTCCTTCACCAAATTGTTCTAAAGAGTGTTTCTTGTATAAATGAAATTTAGATGGTCAGTTACTCCATCAATGTTCTATTCCTTACCTCCCCCATCCCTAGTCACATGTCATATCTTTTATTGCCATTTTTGTCTCACAGGGGAAGTCCACAGTATGTTTTGCAAAGCCAGTTTAGATGAAAAGCAAAATCTGGTTGATCGCCGCTTACAAGTTAATAGGAAAAAACAAGTGAAAATGCACCGAGTGTGGGTTCAAGGCAAATTCCAGAAACCATTGCACCAGACTCAGAATAGCTCCAATATGGTATCTACACTCCTTTCTCAAGACTGAACTTTGTAACATGTTAAGGTACAAAGCCAGAGGACTGTTATTCAAGGACTACTATAAGTCTTTCGTTTCTCAAAAGACAATGAGAAAAAAAGAAGAGAATTTGTGTTTCCTGCTGTTTTGTCATAGGTGAGCTGCTTTGTACATTTTAAGCAATGTAAGTGGTTTGGCACAGTGTGCCTTTTTCTGTGCTTTGAAAACTTGATATGCCGAGCTTGTTTGAATTTATTACATCTAACCATTTTGCTTGTTTCTTGAATTTTATAAGCATTCAATTAAATTAGTATTATGTCAGGTAATTTTGAGAAATCTTAACTTGACATTTTTTGGAAGTAAAAAAAATTGTTTATTTGTTTGGGCTTAGTAAACCAGTTCCCAAACACAGTCGGACTCTTCCCATTGTCATCTGATTGCAGAGAGAAAGCACACCTTGTTTCCAGGGAAAGCTACAACAAGCCCAAAGTCAAAGTGTATTATTTTTTGTCTTGTTGTTGTCTATTTTCTCCCACTTTTTTTTCTTTAATTCAGGGGCTGACACCTGAAATCGAATTTTAGTTCCTCTTTCCTTTCCTAAAATTGGGGAAGTATAGCCCATGCTAACATTATTTTCAGGCTATTCTTAGATATACATGTTGTTAGGCCAGGTGCAGTGGCTCACACCTGTAATCCCAGCACTTTGGGAGATTGAGGCAGGCAGATCGCTTCAAGTCAGGAGTTCGAGACCAGCCTGGACATGGCGAAACCCTTTCTCTACCAAAAATACAAAAATTAGCCAGGCATGGTGGCACATACCTGTGGTCCCAGCTACTCGGGACACTGAGGTGGGAGGATCGCTTGAGCCTGGGAGGCAGAGGTTGCAGTGAGCTGAGATCGTACCACTGCACTCCAAACTGAATGACAGGGTAAGACCTCATCTCAAAATTAAAAAAAAAAAAAGATATGTAAGCTGACAAGCTCTTGTATCAGGGGCTTTTGACCAGAGCAACTTCATCTTGAATAGGGACTGTGTAAAATGAGGCTGAGACCTACTGGGCTGCAATCCCAGGAGGTTAAGGCATTCTTAGTCACAGGATGAGATAGGAAGTCAGTACAAGATACAGGTCATGCAGACCTTGCTGATAAAACAGGTTGCAGTGAAGAAGCCGGCCAAATGCCACCAAAACCAAGATGGCAATGAGAGTGTCCTCTGGCTATCCTCACTGCTACACTCCCACCAGTGCCATGACAGTTTACAAATGTCATGGCAACATCAGGAAGTTACCTATATGGTCTACAAAGGGGAGGCCTGAATAATCCATCCCTTGTTTAGCATATAATCAAGAAATAACCATAAAAATGGGCAACCAGTAGCCCTTGGGGCTGCTCTGCCTATGGAGTAGCCATGCTTTACTTTTTTTCTTTTTCTTTTTCTTTTTTTTTTTTGAGATGGAGTCTCGCTCTGGCACCCAGGCTGGAGTGCCGTGGCATGATCTCAGCTCACTGCCAGCTCTGCCTCCCGGGTTCACGCCATTCTTCTGCCTCAGCCTCCTGAGTAGCTGGGACTACAGGCGCCCACCACCATGCCCGGCTAATTTTTTTTTTTTTGTATTTTTAGTAGAGACGGGGTTTCACCATGTTAGCCAGGATGGTCTCAATCTCCTGACCTCATGATCCGCCTGCCTCGGCCTCCCAAAGTGCTGGGATTACAGATGTGAGCCACCATACCCGGCCTATTCTTTACTTTTTTTTTTGTTTGTTTGTTTTTTTTTTTGAGAGGGAGTCTGGCTCTGTCGCCCAGGCTGGAGTGCAGTGGCCGGATCTCAGCTCACTGCAAGCTCCGCCTCCCGGGTTCATGCCATTCTCCTGCCTCAGCCTCCCGAGTAGCTGACAGGCGCCTGCCACCTCGCCCGGCTAGTTTTTTGTATTTTTTAGTAGAGACGGCTTTTCACCGTGTTAGCCAGGATGGTCTCGGCCTCCCAAAGTGCTGGGATTACAGGCTTGAGCCACTATTCTTTACTTTCTTGATAAACTTGTTTTCACTTTACTGTATGGACTCAATTCTTTCTTGCACAAGATCCAAGAATCCTCTCTTGGCGGCTGAATCCAGACCCTTTCTGGTATCAGTGGTAAGCTCTGTTTAAGACAACTGTCATACCTAAGAAAATTATTAAATTGTGGCAGTTAAAAATGTATTTATCCCCTTGAGGGTCAGGCGCAGTCACTCAAGCCTGTAATCCCAGCACTTTGGGAGGCCAAGGAGGCGGATCACGAGGTCAGGAGTTCAAAACCAGCCTGACCAACATTGAAAAACTCCATCTCTACTGAAAATACAAAAAAAATTAGTCAGGCGTGGTGATGGGCACCTATAATCCCAGCTACTTGGGAGGCTGAGGCAGGAGAATCACTTGAACCCGGGAAGCAGAGGTTGCAGTGAGCCAAGATCAATCACACCACTGCACTCCAGCCTGGGTGACAGTGCAAGACTCCATCTCAAAAAAAAAAAAAATTTATTTACTTCCTTGCTTCAAAAAGGACATAAGTTGACTTGCAAATCACATTTTGTAGAAATGAAGTTTTTAAGATTGGTCTCGTACTCATTACATAATATTTATTGACTACTTACATATTGAGTGCTGAATTCTGTGCAATAATATAAACAATAAAGACCCAGCCTTGTTTATGCTCTTCAGGGAGAATAAATAGAGTCCAGCTGGCAAAACAAAATGTGCATATCCCAAACCTATAAATCATGATCTAAGACAATATACAAACAAATACTCAAATAGGGAACTTACAGCAGACTTTGATTATGAATCACAGAACCTAGAAGAAATGAATACTCTCTTGAAAGAACCATCATTGGAATAATTCAGTTCCAACTGTTTTTTCTTTCTGAATTCACTTAAAATCCAATTTTCTAGAAGAATATCATTGGTCCAGCTTTAGTCATTGGTTCATCTCTTAACAGGCTGGGGCAGGGCAGCTTAATTGATGGGGCCACCAGAATGGGCAACATGGTGAAAACCCTGTCTCTACCAAAAATACAAAAATTAGCCAGGGATAGTGGCACGCACCTGTGGTCCCAGCTACTCAGGAGGCTGAGGTGGGAGGATCTTTTGAGCCTGGGAGGCAGAGGTTGCAGTGAGCTGAGATTGCACCACTGCACTCCAACCTGGAATGGAAGGAAATTTCACTTCCTGGAATGGAAGAAAGTTCTTCAAAGGAAAATGAAGACACTGCTATCAAAAAAAAAAAACAGGGGAGGGATGCTGTCCAGTCACACCCAACACATCATATAGCAGTGGTAGCAGTAGTAATAGTAGTTCCAGAGAGAGAGAGAGAGAGAGATCAGCTCTGAAAAAGAATGGAAAAGAATCAGGTTTCTTGGGGGAGGTAGGTCTTAGGCTAGTTCTTGAGTCTACGTTCTCAGCAGATGGTGAGAAAACAAGTGTGGTGTGGGATATTAATGATGAGGAATAGGTAGAAAAGACGGGGAGGGGGTCATCTCGTTGATAACCTAGAATAGCAGGTATATTGACTTCTCGTCTCTGAACTGGAGCCATCTGAGATCAGTTTGTTTTTGCTTTATCCTAGACATGGTGTCTTATAAATGTATTGAGAGAGGTTGAGGAGTTGTCTATAGAATGGAATGGAGTGAGGTCAGAGATCAATGGCAAGGAAGAGCACATAAAGGTTTTTCCACAAACTTGCCTTGATGGCAAGTCCGCAAAAGTACAGTTATCAAGCTTTCTGTTGAAACATGGATAAGTCAGTAAATATAAATGTTAAAATTTGCCCAAGACTCTTAACTCAGTTGTATTTCATAATTAAAGTGTACATTAACAAGCCAAACTAGTCATGAAAGTATTACATACAATAAGGGTAGTTTAGATAAGTTAATGTTGCTATGGGAACCCCAGCAGATCTCCTTGTGTCTCCATTTAAAAATCATGGCCCAAGGTGGTTTTAAAAACAACAGAAGGTAAAATTATTCTCACATTCTCACACATGTAAATTGTACTGTCTCTCTCAGTTCTAAATAGCGGATTCAAGCCAGCCTCTTGACTGGCACAGTAAAATTCAGCTTCGTGTCTTTCTATAATGTATTACAGCATGTGAGTTAACCTTTAGAAGCTTCAAAAATACATCAACCAAATTTGGACTGTGAGACACAAACTGGTCTCTTTTGGGCTCTGTCCAGCATAGCCTTCCTATTCCACATGGCTGCGCAGCAGGGCCATTTCCACCAGTGTCTTCTGCTTGCCTGGTCAGTCTTTCTCTCTCTTAACCTACCTACAGCTTCCTTCTCAGGGTTTGCTGCTATACGGAAGTGTAGATTTTGGCACAGAAAGAAAAGGGAAAGACCTATTTGGAATTTTGTCTATAGATGTTAAGAAATCATGAAGTGTTGCAAATGTAACTGCTTGGTATTAGTTTAAAATATTTGATAACTGCATGAAATTCTAATTTACCCCTCACATCCATAAAGCTAGGACCAGTTGGTTAGGCAGAGTTTGATACTTAAAAATTCATCTTCTGAGAGAGCTGAATTTCAAACAGACCATTTTCTTTCCAGCAGTAAAAGGTGTATTATTTCATCTTCTTACAATACAGAAACAATGGAATATATTGTTTAAATGCACCCTTCATTTTTTTTCTCCATTTCTAAAAATTCACTTTTGAGCATCGTCCAAATGTAAAAATTCTCACACATGAGGAACTATTTCCAAAGGTGGTGAGAAAGTTAAGATAACAGTTTCTATTATTAAAAGTTTTGCATTCGGTATGACACATTTGCCTGTATTGAAACCCATTTAACATTGACTTCTGAGAACTTATTTGCTTTGCCTCTCTCGGTTCCATATGCTTTGTCTCCAAATTGTGAACATGTCCCTGTTTCTATCCGGGTGTGATCCTATGTCGTTGCTGTACTCTAGTTGGTACTGAAAATTCACCCATATGCAGATAGCTGCCCTCTTGGAGGCAAAACTTAAAGCTATCAGAACCATCTGGATTGTTAAACCCCAAAACTTCCAACTCATCAAAGTCCTGAAGCCTGAATAGATCATACATTGTTACTTCTAATTGGTTTTGATGTTTGTTATGCTCCTCACAAGTGCAGATAACTTCACATTTGCATCGCTAATAGA